AGTCTATTGTAAATTGAGTCGGATCATTTACCAACCCGGACTTGTAAAATACCCACATGGGTTAATAGATCCAACCGATATGGGGACACTAATTTAGGTTCTTTGAAACCAAAGGGGAAACTCTTGCAGCCACTCCTTCCATCTTCAGACGGATTTGGGACGCATGAGAAAGCTATTATAGTATTTGAAGAATACCAGGTTCGTGCAAAGCTTCTTTAGTTCATGAATAAACTAGAAGTAGTGAGTTAATTTGGTTAAGAAATAATGGGGTTTTAGCATTGATTTTTTATTTACTTGTTATACAGGCCAACTTAAATACACTATAGTATTAAAAGGTCCAAATTAGTGTCAAAACTTCTGGTATGACTAATTAAACATGTTAAGTTAGAATAGGCTTGCACAACTTGAACTGGGTCCAATAGGACTCAATTGTCACCCATTTTCAAAGCTTTTGGTGTTCACAGTGACAACAGATTAGTCATTTGTTAAGAAAGTGGAGACTAAGGATGCACTCCATCTTATTATGCTGCCATTGAACAATGGTAAGTGAGAAAATAAAAGGAAATAGTACATCAAGACAATGAGACTTCTTCTCTTTGTCTATGCAGATTTTTATTGCGCGAATACGAAAACTTCAGCACTTCAATTCGCTGACCCATCGGTGCAAAGCCATTGACCCACGAAAATGGTATTACAGTTGATATTAGGATTGATCTCAAGGAAGAAGTCGTCCGACAATTTGAACTTCTCAGCAACAATGTTGCAAGTATCACCATCTTCTGCACCGTACACCGAGTTGCAAACTGGAGTTGATTTTGCCTTCCCAAACCCAACTGCATTGTCACAAGAAGGTTATTGAGAAATTGTCAATGTGAAAATATTGAAAATTGGGAAGAGGGAGGAGGGGGGGGGGGGGGGGGGGGTTTCTAGAAAATCATAGACATTTATTTTTACTGTGTAAATTATGAACTTTTCTTGTCTATGGTAAGTTTAGATTTGGCATTGACATGAAATCGAAATGGAATTAACAAGTTTGTGTAATAAACAGATGAACATGAATCTAACTAAAAACGACTCGAACTTGCTAAATACAAGTTATACACGATACGAATTTGATAGAACATGAATTCGGATAACTACACTAAATATGGGCCAAATATAAGACAAGATGACAAGCTTAATGACAGTCGAAGTTAGAACTTACTGCCAAGTTGTCTGCTCTCGGCCATAGAAACCATGAAAAGAAGAGTGAGTATTAGAACCAAGTAAAAGAACTTGGATGCTTTGCTGTTAAACTGAGCCATGATGATCTATTTATTTTACCAGAAGCAAATGACCCAGTTTTTCCCTTGAATTGGTGAATTCTCTAGATGACTATTTATAGGGAAAAAAATGCATTGGAGAGACCAACAATAGATGAGAATATGAGTTTTAGTTCACCGAGCTTAACGAAAAGGCCGGCTTTCAAAATCATATAATTTACTTGCTGAAATAAGTCAAATCTACTGATGGGAAGAACAAAGTTGAGCACAACTTCAACTAGACAAAACAAATGAATTTGCTTTCCGATTTGCAGGCCAAGAGAAATCAGAAAATCTAACATTGGTTTTTGCTTCAAAATTGTCGACAGCGTAGACTTAAGAGAGAAAAAATATTCAATGTAACATTAACAAAACGTTAGGATTATCACATGGTATCACCGTCAAATACCCCCTATGTAATATACAATAACTACCTAAATATGCCCAAATTTTATCATACCTCTAAATTTTACTCCTTTAATAGGTGTTTTTATAACTTTTGTGAGTAATTTTACAACTAAAAAATTTACTATTTTTGTGGGTATTTTTAGCATTGTTGTGGTAACTATTTTTGTGGCTTTTTTTTTGTATAAAAAAAATTATTAATTTTATGGGTAATTTAAAATATTTGTGGGTATTTTTATTATTATTGTGATAACTATTTTTATCATTTTATTTGATACCACGACAGTGATAAAAATATTAACAAATATAATAAAGGGTAAAATCCTTTTTACCCCGTTGTAGTTTGGGACAGTTGCACTTTATCCCTTGTGTTTTTATAATAGGCACTTCACTCCCTCATGTTTTTGGACTTATTTGAACAGATGACGCAGTTAACAAAAAAATGTAAAATGACCATGATACCCTTTATATATATTTAACAAATGCTGAACAGTTCATTCATTATTCTTATTAGAAGAACAAACAAAAAATCATTTCAAGATAAATTCAACCCAACTGCATGCAAGTTAACACAAATTCTTTCAAGATTGACCCAATTTCATACAACTGAACAAAAAAATAAATAAATAAATATTTGTGTCTTCATATATATGTGTGTGTGTGTATATATATATATGAAATAACCCTCAATTTTTTCAAAACAATATTATATGTATACATATATTTTTTACTTGTACTCACTTTATAGTTTTTTTATTTCAATTGTTTATTTTTTTATTGTATTAAGGCTTTCTCTAGAATAACTTAATATTATTATTTATGAATTTTTACAAGCGAAAGTTCTTACAATTGACTTTCATTTGACTTTTATTTTTTTATGAGAACTCGTCTCTATTTTAATTTGAATATCGATTATAGTGTTCATTATAAGTTAATCAATTTTTTATTATTTTACTATATATTGTTCTTAAATTTTAGTTTTTTAGTTTTTCTAATATCTCAGTGATAATACATATGGGTGGAGGAGATAATCTTTGAAGGGGAGGGAGGGAGAAAGGCATATGATACTACATGTATTTACTCCAAAGCTTAAATACATGGTTGGAATGACATTATTATCCTTTAAACAATAACATTTTTGAGGGAAATATCATTTTCCTATGCCCAATCGTCCATTTAGCGCGTGTAGATTACGATCTGTTTATTCGGATGAAAAAGGTGACAAGAGCAAATAAGTCCAAAAGTATAAGGGGGTGAAGTATGTATTATAAAAACACAAGGGGTTAAGAGCAACCGTAGACAAGTCCTATTCTTTACGGTAGTCTGTGTGGCAAACTGATGAATAGAGAGGCTTTTGGGTGGCCACTTCCAATTATGTCACTTGTGGCAATGGAAACTTAGGCTTCCTTTGGATAGCGTTAAAACACTTGAAAGTGTTGGAAAATAAAAAATATTAAATTTTCATATGTTTGATTATGTAAAAAGTATAATTTTCGAGAAAGTTTTTTTTCCCTCAAATGTTAAATTTTTCCGTAAACATGGTTTCCCACAAATTGTGCGGAAATTTTTTTATTTCTCGTGAAAGTGGCCTTATTCTTTTTGTTTTGCTCACTTACTCTTTTTCCTATTAGATTGATATTATAAGGATAATTTACTCATTACACCAATTTTTTTATATTTTTCAAGCAAACTTTTTATTCTAATTAAACGCATACAAGAAAATAATTTTTTTTCCATTTCTTTTATTCACTTCACTTTCTATTTTTTATTTTTATTTTTCATCATTAATTTCTTTCTGACCAAACAGAGCCATAAGAAAGCTAACTCTGCACCGAAATTAAAGTGAGAAAAACGGAAATGCCACTAGTAATGTTGCGATTATAACTGTGGAAGGAATACCCTCCAAGTTTCATGGAATTCTCTTTTTGTGCATTATTTTTTCATTTTTATTGTTTTGAGGGTAATTTTGAAATATTGTAGCAATTGGGAATGAAGTATTTGTGCGCTATTTTGATGATTTTTAGTTCAATTTTTGATTTGTTTATGAATTCCAGGTAATTTAATTCCGTATAAATATCAGTATTTTTTTTAAAAAAATGTACAACTCTTAACTAGGAAAACGATTTCCTAAGCAAAGATCATACTTTCACTAGTAAAATTTTGGAAAAATTACACTTAAGCCATTTTAGATTTGTTACTTAATCAATTAAAATCTCTGATATTTGAATTATTACACACGAACCTTTTAAAATTTGTATGTGTGTAATACTTATATCTCTGTCATAAATGTCCATTAGTATATCTATTAATAAATTACACCTAAAATCCCTGAAGTTTATAAGCATATAACACTTAGGATCCTTAAGTTTAAAATATTATACTTAGACCTTTTATTAATTAAGGAACTAACAAAATCTATTAAACTACCAAATTACCTCAATATGGTCATTACAGTTTGACCCTTTATTTAATTTTTTTAGTTTTATTGCAATAGACAGTATAATTATATGCAAATGAGTGTTAAATTAATTTTTTTTGATATATTTATACTTATTAGGATTTTATTCTCAAAAATTGGGATTTTGTTTGAATTTTATGTCAATAGATTATATAATGAAACATGCAAATTTATTGATTAAGTTTATTTCATATATTTGTACTTGATGATGAAAAATTTGACCCAAAGGTGAGAAATCCATTTAGTCCAAGATGGTCTAGGTATGCCACTTCTAGCTTTTAAGTACAGTTCATACCTTTGAGTCACTTACTGACGTAGACATCAGAGAGTCAACCCTTGGATCTCCCCTCCGGTCTCTGATTTCTTTTTCAGGTAATCAAAGTCTAACAAACTAACATGAAAGTCTTTTAAATTTTGATATCAATAATATTAATTATGATTTTTTTAAAAAAAAACTAATTTTTAATTTTTAATTTTATTTCAATAAATGACATAATATAATATTAATGTTGGTTGTAAATTTGAAATTCTTTGATATTCTAAATATAATATTTTAAAATTGAAGGGTCTACATATTATACGCTTTAAACTTCAAGAGTCTAAATATAATTTATTAACAGTTATATTAATGAACATTAACGACCAGAATTTATGTATTGCGCGCGTACAAACATTAAAAGATCTGTATATATTATTATAAATATCAAAAAATTTAGATGATTAAGTGATAAAATTTGGGAGAAGGCGTTCATTTGAGGTGTTCAATCAACTTCTTATTCATCATGTCTATAATTTCCCAAAAAAGACTGAAAATGCATTAATACTTTGTGTTAATTGTTGCTCTCATAACTGATAATATATCAGCTAAAATAATATCAGATAAATTAAAAAATGGCAGAAACATAAAATTTTGCTATCATCATTTCCATTTCCGTTCAAGTTTACATGAGACTGTTAAAAAAAGAACAAAAAATTTACATGAGCAGCTTGAACAACCGTACAAACATTTACATCCGAGGACTCCTTATTTCAAAAAATTTCATTTTTGCCCAATCCGCATCGACCCTCACCACTCCCGACTTCATCTTCCCGATCTCAGAGTCAACTCAACCCACTCCTTCCCGGCGGCGACTTTTCACCACCTCAAAAAACTCTTATGAAGCTTCACCATCAAGAAATCCCGGTAAACTCGCCGGTACAATAACACCTCAGCCCTGACCCCAACAATTGAAGTACATCACTCGCTGGAGTGACTCATCGGCCTGCTTTCTCCTCTGCTCTCTACCACTATTTTCAATAAACTCGCCAACATCGGACCCTAGCAAGCCGGAAATTGGCCGGAAATCGGCCGCATCTCCACCAGCTACGGCGGAGGACGAAGAGAATCGGTTTTTGCTGTGGTGGAGAGACGTGAGACCTGACTTCCATTTCAGGTCGTGGTCCGTGCGGCCATTAACGACGGCGACACTCGCTGCCATCCAAACACGGCTTATTAGGAAACTCATGGTTAGGTCTTTCTTTCTTTGCTTTGGTGTGTTTGCTGTTAAGCAGAATCGGGAGATGGAGGTAGCGGGTGTAGCGTATTTATAGAGAGACAGAAATAGCGGTTTTGTGAAACCGGAAACTGGAAACATGGTTCGAGGAGGATAAGATTGGTACATGACTGGTGGGCCACCGGGGCGTGGATACTTTGCACTTCTTTGGATGCATTGATAGCGTACAAAATATATTTTATCGTTATTATCTCGCGAGTTGATATAGTGTGAGCATGGTGGATCAAAAAAATTGTGATCATATCAATAATCCTACATTTATTAAACATATTTACTAAATGACACGACTCATTCATATATCGATTATACATGATTTATACATGATATGAATTTAATATGATACAATATGTTAATCATTAATTAATAAACGAATCGAATATGAATGAAATATTTTTTGATAAAAACTCAATAAGACACGATATGAACCCGTCTTACCTAACATGATTGACAGTCTTAGTTTGATGAACATAAACTGTTAATTTTGTTTTAATATTGAGTCTCATTGATTTAATTATTTTTAATGATAATGTACGAAGAAAAAATCTTGCACTTTTTATTGATGATATGTAAACAAAACAATCTAATTTGAACATGACCTGAGTGAACCACACCTAACAAAACAAACAAATCGTCATTGACCGGGATTTAATCGGCTGAAGGCACTCTAGTACTTAAATCAATAAGGGTCTGAGATCAAACAGACCACCAGTGGGGAAAGAAGTGTGGAACTTAAGTCATCTGGTGTTTTATTGGTATATGTACTTGTTTTTTAGGGTTTAATTGATGATTGAAACAAGGTAGGACACCCATTTTTTATTCAAATCTTCTCATATTTGTATTTTGCACTTTTCTGAGTTTCATTTATTATTAATCGATTATTTAAGTCTTATGTTTCTAATGTGCACTTATGAATTAGACAATTTTCTCATTAACAACATAAAACTGCTTCTGATTGTTTGAGATAGTCTAACTATCTTTTTGTTCGGCTTAGTGCTCTTCCTTAAATTTGTTGGATTTCAACTCTCGTACTTTAACTCAATCTTTATCGACTACTCGACTATTGTGCTAATTGAGTCGTTCAATGATGAAGCTCCCTTTTTTACCAGCTTAAGCCAAACACATGTTTGCCTGATTTTTTCATAACATGGGTAGGGTCGCTTTGACTTTGTCATATTGTCTATATTTCTGTCACATGTGTTTATGTCACGTGTATTTATTAAAAGTTTAATTGTGCGTAATAATTCCTTCAGAAATGATAAATCTTATAAATTTGTTGGCACGCACACCATGACTTAGTGGACAGTGGTCCATAAATTGTACTAACGTTTTTACTCCACTAACCTCACACCGCCCTAGTTGATGCATCACGGTGTTTCTAAGCTTGGATGAGAAGGTGTTATGAATTATTATCATTATATCTTAAGAAAGACATTCTAGTTGGTTAGAAGTAGGTGTCTTGTTGGTGGTTGCATGCATTTCTATTTTGCTTTATAACTGATGGTACTTAAAATTAATTAAGGTTAAGCTCGGACTTTTTAGTTCGGACATTTCAGCTCAGATCTCTCAGCCCATGAACTTTAGCCTGGGAGGTACATGGCAGGAATCATCATCGACGTGATACTCGTGCACACAATCACAACAATAACTCGTATCTTCTAAAAGGTCATGTCACGTTTAAGGAATGTAACCCCTAACGACCAAATATTCTGACACATGAGACGTAACAGCCTCAAGGGAAAATCACGCTGAATACACAAGGACCATGTTGGTTACATGAGGATCGCAAAAATCACGCAAGGCAATTACGAAAGGTAACTGTATACTATAAGTAGGGATCAAATCGCTTGCATTGTAATCAAGTAAGCATTTGTACTATTGCTTTGTGTAATTTTGTAATCTTCTTCTCCCAGTAAATAGAAAACTCTCTCAAGAGTAAGAGATTCAATTAGAGTGAACTAGCTAAACTTTTGAACTATTGAACCGGTATAAATTCTCTGTCTATCGATCTTTATTCATAGTTATTCCCCTAATTTGATATTTCAACCCTCAAGAGCCAAGAAATTTTGACTGAATATCCCAGTAATCCCCTTTAACATCCACAGCAAGATCTTCAAACCATTCACCTCTGCTTGACCGCGCAAGACACACCTTTAATAATTATAAATACATATAATTAAAATAATTTTTAATTATTATTATTAAATTTATAAATTCAATCTAAATAGGATTGCGCACCTCTTATCTCACCAAGATTGGTACTTAGTTGTAAGCACAGAACTTAGTTGTTAGTTATATCACGATAGAATGATGCATCTCAAATATCGCGATATTTTTGCTATAAATTAGCCTTGTAGTGTGTAGCAGATCAAAGGAAGCCGTGGGAAGCTTATCCGAACATTGACTTTGTAACTCATTTCCATCGGACCAATTAAGCAGCCGACACGTTTCTCCAAGCTCCTAAATGAATTTTTTAATGGGTCCCACTTTTTTATTTTGTTATTCTGTTCTTGTCCCTTTGCTTTTAATGGGGCACCCCTGTCCTTTTCTTACCGTGGGGTCCGAAATGCAAATGGACAAAGGGGACACGTGAGGTGACAACGACAAGGATGGCTCTTTCGATCTTTGCCCATAGACATCATGGAGGGAAGGGGTTGTCACGTGACGGAGTGGAACTAAATTTTACTCTTTAGTGTTAGGTGTCACACTCAATTAATGGACCGTTTTTTTGACAAATTAGTTTATGATAATGTGAACATAATTTATTTGGTGAAATACCCGTTTGATCCCCATTCAAGGATGACTCTTTCGGATCAAAAAAAAAGAGTAAACTATCCATTCTGTCTAATTGTAAAAAAAAAAAAAAAAAGCATAAATATCTTGATCCAAGGTACTCACATAATGAATTTTAATTTGTACCTCGGAGACACTTTGGTTTTATCATACTGTGTTTAGTCTCTTTGCTTCTCTTTGTTTAGGTTAGTAGAGCATGAAAATGCTTGCAGCTATGACATCTCCACGCATAAAGAAACCAGAGATCCATTAGTGGGGAAAGGGAAGGAGAAAGAGAGAGGAATGGAGGAAATGAACGGTTTAAGTGGTGTTGGTCGACCAAAATGAATCATGCGTTCCATCATCCCTGCGGACCATCTAGGGTTCATTCTTTCAAGATAGCTTCTTCAACACCCAAGCGAGTTGGCACTCGCATTGGAAGCTTCCACTGCGACGAAGCTCTCGGCTGATTCGCGTCACCAGCAAATTTTCTGGCACCCAAGTGTTCGAACTAGAGACACCCCAGGTACAAAATATGCGCCTGTTCGTATTTGCATCAAGCGGGCCAATTATTATAAAAAAAAAAGATCGAATTGAATTTTGTTTTGGTAGTGTTGGATACGCCTGACTCAATGCTTGATATTGAATGAGTGTGTATGATCCAAGCGGAGATCGTTACAATCCTCGTAGTTTGATGAGATTTTTGGTCAGAGTTACTAATGAACTCAACAGTGTTGGCCTTGTCTACAAGGCATGTTAGTCCATAATTACATTCTTCGGGTTGCCTATTTTGATAGTATGTTGATTGATACGAGTTTGTTTCGGTCAAACATTTACTAGGTTATTGATTTACATTGCACAGCATAAAAAAAAAAAGTGGTGTTGGTCGACGACGAGCACTGTGTTGGCAGCAATCATAGTGATGGGATAATGGCTGCACGGGTAAAAATCCGTCAATCGTTGAAATATGTCGAGATGCGCCCCTAATCTATGAGTATCATTCAATCCATGAGCAGCAAGACAAAGAGACGTTAGAGGGACCCCAAGTGTTGAGCCAGGGAAAATCCCTCCGATACCTAAGTCAATATCGCGATCAATATCTGAATAGGCGAGTGTACAAAACTGAAAAATGAACAAAGGTGTGTGTATGAAGTATAGAGTCGAAGTGCTCTTACTTGAGAACCCCTATGTATAGAGAGGATTAGAGAGCTATTTACCATTTTCGTACTGTACAACCATCAATATAAGAATATAAGCATGGACTATCTTACTAGGATACTTATTACCTGTCATATATTTATTGTAGTGGGTCTTATTTGTGATATATTTCAATTCCTTCATTGGGAGTAGGGCTGGTGGACCCACTTGACAGAAATGTCCCGTCAATGGCCATAGTGACTAACACTCTGTGTGTGTGTGTGTGAGAGAGAGAGAGAGAGAGAGTACTTGGCTAGGTTTGTATGGAAAGGGTTAGCTATTTTTAGTTGGGTTTTAAGTTTATTTTTGCTTGTTTGTTTGGTGGTTACCCAACAAATGAACATACCTTCCTATCCAATCAAAAGTAATCTAAACATGCAAGATCAGTTGTGTACTGATAACCAGTTGAAACCATCCCCAACTTTGTCTTGATCAGACGAAGTTCCACTTGTGTGCCCAACACGTTGCCTTCGTCTGTGCTAACGTGCCAATAATTGTCAAGCTACGCTCAGCCCATGTCTTATTCTTCAAAGCATGCAAGAACATCTTACTTCAGTCCACCTTGTGATGCTTTGCTTTGCCCACTTGTGTCAACGATGTCTTGTCTCTCATAGTAATGCATGGGGCTTCCATAAGTGGTGGGTCCACCTATGCCTCGGTCCTACATTTTCTCAAGTCTTCAACTTGTGTATCTTACCTCTCACCCATGACAAGTGTCCCGAAGGAAGACCACCAATATATGTGTTTTAGGAAGATAGTCTCAAGTGCCTACAATAAACATTAGCATGCCAAAAATCATAATGAGTTTTTACGAGATGGACAATACTACACATCCCTAGAATTTTTGCTTGATTAGCCTAAAAATTGTTGACTAGGCTGACTTGCATTGTCCAATAATCGACCTTTCCAAGCATTGACTGAAGTGTCTCAAACCATTTTAACACCAAGACCAACATGCATCCGAGTATTTTAGGAGTCGTCATGCATGTTGCGGTTGCTTAGCCAAGCACAGCCCCCCCTTGGCCTTAGCATGGGGCACCACCATTGGGTACTTCACCTTCACGCCACAGCCATGCC